GGATGGACTCTGTGTGTGTGTGTGTGTGTGTGTGTGTTCTACGTATCAACACTTTATCACATTAATAAGCCATATGCTTAAAGTCCTTTTTTCCTTGTCAACAGATACACCTGAGAGATCGTCCTTCCCTACACCCTGGCAGAGAGTATCCACACCCACAAGTAAGTGCCCAAAGGTTCCTATGAGCATCCACTGAGTACATCATATTAATTTATTCAGAGGTGTATCGGTCACTAGCTACATGTACACATCTATGTAACTCCAAAGGTAATATATGTATCGGTCCTGTGTACATGAGTGACATCCAAAAATTGTACATGGATGTTCCTACTTGTACTGTACACATAAGGTGAGGTATTCGATGGGTGTGTGTGTGTGTGTGTGTGCATCACTCACAATACATGGAAAGGCATCAGTGAAGTAAGAGAAGGGGGTAATTGAGGGATAGGAATGGGTAGTGCAGGAAAGGGAGAGGATGAGGAGTAAGAAAGATGTGAAGGGAAAGAGTGTTGAGAGAGGTGTACTGGTTGGTGGAGAGAAGGGGAGAGGTGAGAGGTAACGGGTGGTAGAAGAGGTGAGGGGAGAGAGGTAACGGGTGGTAGAGGGGAGAGGGAGAGGTTGGGTGGTGAGGAAGGACAAGGGACAGTCTACCTGCGCGAGCCATCACATGTACTGGGCAACGGCGACGCAGTGTCCGGCCTGACACGGGGGAGGGGGTGAGGGTGGGGAGGATTAAAAACCAGTTGCCTCTTGCAGCAGATACGTCGTTAGTTACGTTCTGGTCAGTTCCAGGTTACGTTCTGGTCAGCAACTCTAGGTTAAATCCTGGTCAAGTTCCAGATTACGTCCTGGTCAGTTCCAGTTTACGTTCTGGTCAGTTCTGGGTTGCATATCTGGCGATCCACAACCGGCATGGCCAGTCTGTCTCATCAAGACACATCTGTCACATCTACTTGTACCGTCACATCACCACGACCGTCATATCACCAATACGGTTCCTGTCGGTACCGTCACATTGTCAATATCATCACGTCATCAGTATCATCATACGTCAGTACCGTCACATCGTCAACATCACAACAACATTACCGTCACATCGTCAACATCACAACAACATTACCGTCACATCGTCAACATCACAAAAACATTACCGTCACATCGTCAACATCACAACAACATTACCGTCACATCGTCAACATCACAACAACATTACCGTCACATCGTCAACATCACAACAACATTACTGTCACATCATCTGTATCACCTCAACATTACCGTCACATCGTCAGCACTATCACGTCAACATTACCGTCACATCGTCAGCACACATCAACATTACCGTCACATCGTCAGCACACATCAACATAACCGTCACGTCGTCAACATCACAACAACATTACTGTCACATCATCGGTATCACCTCAACATTACCGTCACATCGTCAGCACTATCACGTCAACATTACCGTCACATCGTCAGCATCACAATATCAACAATACCGTCACATCAGCACACATCATTATCGTCACATCGTCAGCACACATCAACAATACCGTCACATCGTCAGCATCACAATCGTCACATCGTCAGCACACATCAACAATACCGTCACATCGTCAGCATCACAATATCAACAATACCGTCACATCAGCACACATCAACATTTATCGTCACATCGTCAGCACACATCAAAACATACATCATCGTCAGCACACATCAACAATACCGTCACATCGTCAGCATCACAATATAATACCGTCACATCGTCGACATCACAATATCAACATTATCGTCACATCATTTAGCATCATAAGATCAACAATACCGTCACATTGTCAGCACACATCAACATTACCGTCACATCGTCAGCACACATCAACATTACCGTCACATCGTCATCACACATCAACATTACCTTCACATCGTCACATCGTCAGCACTATCACATCAACATTACCGTCACATCGTCAGCACACATCAACAACACCGTCACATCGTCACCACACATCAACATTACCGTCACATCGTCAGCATCACGAAATCAACAATGCCGTCACATCGTCAACAATACCGTCGTCACACACTCAGACTCCTCACTGTCACCACGTCATCGCTGCCGTCACATGGCCTGTATCCCTGCCGTCACATCGCCTTTGTCTGTACGTCACTACTTTCACATAGCCTGTAAACGCGCCTTCACATCACTTTTGTACTTACATCCACTACCGTCACATCCTCCCTGCCGTTCCGTAACCCGTATCACCACCGTCACATATTAATCTAAAAAAATCGTTACCGTCACATAAGTGTTGATGGTCATCGCAACATTATTTCTATTGAATTATCAGTTTCCTACCGTCACATTACCGTCACTCTACCACTTTCGTAACATCCCTGGAGTAGAGGTGATGGGAACGTGGCGTCACAACGGAGTCACGTACCGACAACAATAGAGACAGGACGTCACACACACGCACTCGTCTTCAGCACATCACACAGCGCGTCACACTGTAAACAGTACACAACACGGAGCCCAAACCACCGTCACCAATACCACACAGGGTGCCACACATCGTAACCAATACCATACAGGGCGTCACACATCGTCACCAATACCACACATGGCGTCACACATCGTAACCAATACCACTCAGGACGTTACAGCATCAGCAGAGGGCGTCACACCACACGCGGCGTCACAGTAATCCCTGTAAAGCGTCACAGCGGCGGGCAGTAATCCGCCTCTCACACACCAACACAATCACCGTCGCCTTCAGTTATCACGGATTAGAGTTTGTTTACCACACCGCGCTTATACTAGTGGCTTGCTAGACATACATATTACATACACACACGTACAGTAATTATATATACAGGTATATATATATATATATATATATATATATATATATATATATATATATATATATATATATATATATATATATATATATAGTCAATATGTACGTAATATGTTATTTATATTGGTACACGGAACAATAATAGGTTTTATTGACTGGGTAAATACGTGACACTGTTAGGATACGTAAGGACTTGACGGCAGAGGGCCACCACCTGGCCACGATGCCACGTCGCCAACACTTTCTGCTTGGCAGTGCTGATGACATTTGTGGCTGTCACGCAGACTTTGTAGGTGTCGTGCAGTCGTTTAGTTGTTCTGTAGTATTTGTAACTGTCATGCAGCCTTTGTAGCTGGTCATGCAAACATTATAGCAGTCTAGTAGTATTTTGAGTCGTGATGTAACCTTTGTAGTTGTTATGTAGCTTTTGTTATGTAGTCATGTAGCCTTTTTAGTTATGTAGCATTTATAGTCATGCAGACTCTGTAGCTGGTATGTAGTCTTTGTAGCTGATAATGCAACCACAAATAAACAGTGTTTAGTAAACGAATATACGAACTAGTTAGTAACCAGAGCAACTACAGGTCGGTACACTAATTAGTAAGGCAGGTACAGTGCACACTAATTAATGATCGGAGGTACAACTGGGCCGGTGAAGGCAGGTACACGTTAGTTAATGACCTTAGGTATATTTGGGGACCAGTAACGGCAGGTAAACAGTGACATTCCTTAAGTACTCGAAGGTATACTGTACATGTGGTCAAATCGTACTTTGTATTTTTCAGACCAGCGTAAATGTATTTCAACTGCGAGCTCTAAGGTAATCACTCTATTATGTGGATGTGATTGTCATCTACTCTCTTTAGGAGTCCAGCAAAAATATGATAAGTATTTGAAACTTGAAAAAATATTCCGTAATAATCTTGTATATATTGTTTGATAAATAGGAATATAAAATATATTATCGCCTAGGTAATATTTATTTAGAATTAAAGCTTTTATTTGTGGAAAAAAATTTACTCGTAAATTCTTGCGACTCATGTAAATGATGTGTTTATCGCTGACGTTCTTCGCCAGTCACCTATGTTTTACAGGAATTACTTATAGTATTATGCGAATAATTTATTGAAAAGACAAACGATGGAGATTACATGTTTTCATTACATAATTCCTGTGATAGGATGGATCATAAGAGTATAAACTGCGTGTGTTGGCCTAGGCCAGCGGAGCCCCGTCACTTGACAGTCGCCAGGACTTGTAACGCCACTTGACCCCAGATTTGTCCCAGCGCAGGTCACTCCCTCAGAAATTCAACACTTCTCCCCATCACAAAAATCTTTTGAAAAGAGTCGGGAAAATTGATGAGAGAGAGCTGGGGTGAGGGAGTGAGTATACATAATTAAGGAATGTCTCGATGTTGCTGCTGCTAGAGGCTCCTAACGTGACCTTTGCCCCCGCCTCCCTCCTCCTGACGGCGCTTCGTCAGATGGTTCCTCCAGCGCCCTACATCACCATGCCCTTCCTTCACCGTCCTAATTTTAGTAGCAGCTACACATTGTTTATTTTGGGGTAATTTCCATAACATTTGCGGGTGGTTGAGGTGGGAGGAATATTATAATGTATCGTAAGGTTGTGACACTGAGTATTGAAGTGGTGGGGGAAGGGAGCCCGAGGGGCGCTTGAGGCCGGACGGGGAACAAGGATGAAGTATTAAGGCAGGTGTTGGGCAGCGCGTGTCCTCGTCGTGGAGGACACGCGGCTGAGGAGCAGCAGGTGATGCGGCCGCCCTGTCACCACCCCACCGCCGCCGCCGCCGCCGCTCTCACCATCGATCCAACAGTGGGAGTTCGGCAATATATCTGGGAACGTGAATGTTGATAGCGGTGCTAATTGGGAGTCTGAGAGGTCCTTTTCCCCGTGCCAGCGCCTCAGTGCCAATCTGGCATCGGTCTCGACTCAAGGGGGCGGGGAAAAATATGAATTATTGATTCATATTAGCGACATGCGCACCACAAAGCATATAAAAAGACGGCATTTTTACGGTGAGTCTCAGAGCAACACGGGGCCTTGAGGGGTCGTGAGGGGCCCCGGACCCCCTTGAGGGCCCCGAGGTGTCCCTCAGGTGTTGTTGGGGCTTACCTGTGAGGCTGCCGTAGGGTAGGTGTAGCCGAATTGGGCGTAGGCTGACATTGTTTTGTGTGAAGGCTCCAGCCTTAAGGGATGATTACAGTCCACTCCCGCGTGTAGGCCTGGTCTATCGCACCTCAGTGATGTGTACCTTGCAAAGTGTTACTATCACTAATTACACATCCCATCTACACTGGCCACCGAGCGGTCACTGGCCAACACAGTAGACACAACTGGTCACTGGTGTCCGACATACACAAGACTAACAACACACAACACGTCCTCCACTAACTCCATACAAGCGAGCCAATGGGGCGGGGCCTCGCCGCGGGAGGAGGAGTCTCGCGCACGAGGACGCGCTGGATTGGCTGACATGCCTGCCTCATCTCTCTCTTTTAACAAATCTTTTCGTTGATTGGTTGTCCTCAACCCTGAGCGCCTCCTATTGGTTACGCCTCACTGGCATCTTGGGATGGGACAGAGAATGAGTGGAACATTTCGTAGGACTGTCTGCCTAATATTTTCGACATGTGTTTGGCAAACAGAAATACACAAGTACACTGATTTTTCATGAATGACTCACTTTGTAAATGACATTTAAATTTGTGACAGGCATTAGAGGAACTTAATGAAGATATGGACAAGTGGAATAACACGACATATACAACTCCATACTGCCCATAGCTGACCACTGGGGACATGGTGACATGCACCATCCTCATGTAGCGGTCAGCAGGGACACATTTTTCCAAATACATACCATTATATTAGACACAATGGTCTTTTTATAGCTGAATTATAGCTGATATGAGATGTGATAATGTGTAGGCCAGCAGCATCAAGTGGAGGGAGGGAGACAGGAGAGGAAAGCTTTACCTGTCAGAGCGCTACACTGGCCGCCACACCACAACAACAGCCCCACCTCTGTTACACATAGGTCATCGCGCCTTTACAGTGGAAGATGCACTTTTATCTTACCGTTTTTATCCACTATTTTGAAGTTGGGGTGGAGGAAAAATACCCCAGACACGACAGAAGCCGCCTTTTACAGCCCATCTCCCCTCACACCCAGTGCACCTATTAACTGAACCCCTTACCGGAAACTGACACCATTTACAACAATAATGTGGTCACTAATCTCCCTGCTAGACATCAATGCCGCTTATCTATTACTACTTTAATATTCATCAGTTAAAGATATGACTTTTTGTTTTTACCTTTTTTATTTTTACTGTTCTTGCAAAATGAAATGAAATGTGGAGAGAGAGAAGTAATAGAGAGTGATTGAGGTGAGGTCAGTGGGTGGTGGGGAGGTGCCCACCATCAAAGGCCCTTCTCCTGCTGGTGGTCCTCTGGAGGCTGGCGGTGAGGGTCCTCCAGAAGTCAGGAGTCAGACCATGAGTAGGGCCCTGCTGCTTGTTCTTGTTGGGGGACGTCTCTCATGCTAGTATTTTGGTCCAGTCTTGAGCATCTATCAGTGCATGCAGGACACTCGACCCCAGTCACGTCGTTTATATGATAGGTTTTTTCAGCAGCCATGACGAGATGAAAGTATCCAACACTCCACATTTTTATTTTTCAGGGCAACAGCAACACCTATTCTATTTTCCCATATAAATATCTTTCTCATCTCGGAGACAGCGGGCTGGCCAAGTGCGCTCACAACCCTTCTATATTTTATACTTGCCTGTCTTCTCTTTCTGAGCTTGTATCACCGGCCGCAGGAGGGCACCCCGCCATCGACCAAGGTTCCTCTTATTCCCCTTTTCAGAAAAGTATATTTTTGGGGGGTGTTTTAACCATGCGTGTTTTCCCAGGCGTTCTTGTTCGCGTTATGTTTATATCATCAGTATTATCTATATTGATGGGGGTCTTCAGATTCCGTGTGTGTGTGTTTGTGTGTGTGTGTGTGTGTGTGTGTGTGTGTGTGTGTGTGTGTGTGTGTTCCGTTCTTCAGCAGGTTTGCTTCACCGCCGTCACGATACAGATCGATTTGGGCGTTCCTTTGTTTATATCAGAAATCGGGATCTGTATTACAAAAATTCATACCGTACATAAATATACCAAGGTGTATAATGTATGCTTTGTGTTACGTCTCAATATCAGAATCTGTATAAAGTAAATATAGTTACCTACAACACCCCGCTATAAACTCCCGGTCATCTCCCTATATCTCGCGTAAGAAGAGTCTGGCGGCATAAACACAACCTGGTGTATGATGTAAGTCACGCATGAAATTAGAATCGAGGTGACAGACTTCCTTACAACACTCATACTTGTCATAGTCTATCACAGTGTCGTGTAGATAAAAGATAGATTAATCTTATTTTGCCACTGGGTCATCACCTCGCTGCACCATCTATCATTCTTATCTATTGGATGAATTTTCCTATGGTTGCATCGCCAGAAATTGATTAGAACTCATGCGGGTATTCTTAAGTTAGTTATATTCACAAACAAACTACTAACAGGTGAGGCACAAGCCGACATGTACTCAACACATGCAGTACATAATATTAATCAAGGAAATGCACACCTTTCATACCGGTATATACTGTATATATATATATTTTTCCAAACTATGCCACTCTGAGATTTTATTTCGTTGCAATATTAATAAAGATATTAGGGGATAGACTCTTGTATTTTTCGGATTGGTGTTGAGTTTTGACTCGTAGATTTCATGGAAATAAAATGAATAAGCAGAGCGTTGTCAGTGTTATTATACGGCGACAATATTTAAATTTTCATGGAGAGGATTATACAGCGCGAATTTTGATGGGCCATGAGTTTATCGCCTCGTCCTGCAGCATCAAATATATCTAAAGCTTTTAAAAATGTGGTTTTATTTGTGGGTTTAATGCGTGTCAGATAATTACTTTAGTGTGTATGATGACGTAAACATTTATAGCTTTTTTCACCAACTGTATAATCCTTATTAATTCTGAATGGTTATTAATATATGTATGTTCTTTGTTTTTATATATTCATGTTTTTATTTATTTAATTGTTTTTAATTTTGTAGTGAAAAATGTTAGTGGTAATTGTTTAGTTATGGGAGTACAGTTATTGAGTGGCATGTTAACCTTTACACCATCAGCGTCGGGATGAAGTTACTCAGACACCCGCAATACCATACCCGACTCGTCATTGTTCTTCTAGGTGACCACTCCAAGCTTCATAGTCCATCATCCGTCATCCATACCTCACAAATACATATCCACGCCCCATAACCTCATCTTCAACTACATATCAGCCACACCTCACTACTTCACAGCCTACCACACACACACACCATCCTCATATTCCACTACACATCATCCATTTCTCAAGGCCCGTCCAGTATCATTTAAGTTCTTCACAGCGAAACAAATTCATCATCCATCATTCAGTCCTGTAATAAACGTATCTCAGTATTCAGATGATAAAAAAAAGAAGGAAAAATTAACGTTTTTTCTATAACTCTTAATTTTTATGTTAATGGAAGTGTCATGTCACAACTAAGATAAGATATCGATTATTATCTTTGTGATTATTAGTATCTAATGTGACAACAAAGTACTGTAACTTTATAATTTGTTAATGTAAATAAATCTTTTATTATATGATAACACCTTTAATATTACTTATAAGTTAATTAAAACCTTACATCAGGACTAAGATAACAGTGTTCGTTATACACAAACCGTCCAGCGGATGACCTGTACGGTGGCCAAGAGTTAGTTAAGTTATACAAGTCAGGGATGCAGTGAGGCGCTATTGGCGTGAAGGGGCCGGGAGCGCGGGGTGAGGTTTGTCTAGTTTTATTGAGCTGACATAATAAAAGATATACGTTGGAGCAGATGATAAGTATATAATTAGGTATTATATAATTATGATGTTGAATTACTGATGTAAATATAATCAAATAGTGAATTAATTATATTTTAGGTTATATAACTTTCTTGTGGTAGTCATAAAATGAGTAAATTATTTTAACTTTACAACGATCATTACGCTAGTGTGTCATATTGCATTTGTGATATTTGTTGATATGAAAGTGCTGGAATATTCAGGTGTTGTGTATACACCTGAGTCCTGTGTGAGTGTCCCCATGGTCTCAAAGGGTCATCAGAACTTCAAGCGTTGGATTGTAAATACTTATTGTGTTTGATGTTTATCCGGGTCAATTGTTGTTGTTAGTCTTATTATTATTATCATTGCAATTATTTTAATAGTTCCATTACTATTTATATAAATTTTTATTATATTATTAACAATAGTATAATAATTATATTATTATTGTTATAATTGTTACTGTTATTATTATTATAATTATTATTATTATTATTATTATTATTATTATTATTATTTTTATCATCAATACTATTATTATCGTCATCACATACAATCACGTCCAACGATCCCGCAAGTCCTCTACAGTCACCTGCAATGACACCGCGATTACAGTGATACGACCTGAGAGGCACAACAAGCACATCTCCACCAGTTGGGCTGCGTACGACCTCTCCCTCGACGACCCCTGGCTGTGAGACGGAGAGAGACACAGACGGGAGTGCGGCAGGTACTGTGAGGTGCTTCTCGGGCGAAACTTTTGATGGTCAGAACCGTAACAGCGGGGAGAGTTGGCGAGGTCAATCCACTAAAGGTTGGTTAGGTTGATTAAATTCTCTCTCACACACACACACACACACACACACACACACACACACACACACACACACACACCCGAATCTTTGGTTTCGCCTTACCAAGCCTCCGTTTCCCTGTACAAATATGAGCAGAGCCGCTGGTTTCCGACACACCCTGTTTCTGCTGTAGCCAGTGTCGGAATCCTCTTTGTTATATGACACACACACACACACACACACACGTTTTTCCATCGCTGTATTTTCTCGGACTTCTTCTGTAGTTGTATAGTTCCTGACAATTTTTATAGCGGCAATAGTTCTCTGCATTTATCTATACATAACTTTGACAACTCTTTCCTCTAGCCATAGTTTATTAAGGCCTGACGTATTACTCTCTAGTACAAGTGTTTGTTTTGAGCTTTTGTTTGCTTATAGTTTTTATTTATGAAGATGATGATTGTGTGTGTGTGTGTGTGTGTGTGTGTGTGTGTGTGCGCGCGTGTGTGCACAGCCTCATATGTCGCTCCACCACCAGCAAAATTGTATGGCTTATCAATTGTTCGACAGGTGTGAAGTATCGTCACACGCAACCGCCAGGAAATGTAGAACCTGCAAA